GAATGCGGTAGGTAAGTATAGTAAATAAATATGCATTATTTGACGTATTCAATTGTTTTCTGTCACTTCCGGTTTGACCGGAAATGACCCAAATTTTTTTATTTCAAATGGGACACCCGGTATATTTTTACATATTTCGTATATACAGGGTGTTCCATTTAAAATATGATGATATGGGTCACTTCTGATCAAACTGGAAGTGACAGAAAACAATTGAATACACCAAATAGTGCATATTTATGTACTATACTTACACACCGAATTCCATTTGTTTATCTGTATAAACTAAAAATTTATAGGGGTGAGCCACTTTTGAGAAACACCCGGTATACAAATAAATATTCTCCCGGAAATTTTCCAGTCCGTTTTGTTTTCGTTGGCCCATTCTGTTTGTTTCTCAGCTGAAGCCTCGGGGTATGATGTTGGTGGGCAAAAATGTCATTCTTTACTACCATGGTGCCAAACCAACCATTTTTAGATGGTCGTAGGAAAAATGATTAATCTTGTGCAGGCTTACCTTAATGGTGTTGAATTGATGATTTCAGGTCTGCTCATTTCGTATATGCTTGAACACTGTTCAAAGATGGCAGAAATGAATGAGCAGACCTGTTGTGTTTTGTAGAACGTTCCACATATAGGTTAATAATTTTGCATTTGAATTTATTGATAGTTTGAAAAATATTTACTAATTTCTCAAATGTTGTCTTTGAAAGTTTGCATAATCTCAATTGCAATTAAGTTCTGATGGAAAATGTTTGCTTTCAGAATCTTAACTAGTAATAGATCTGTCCAAGCATTTTCTCCACAAAAAATTGTAGATATTTCAGAGGATTCAAGCATATTTGATGTATGAAAAGAAGCATTTATAATATCGAAGACTGTATGGATATGATCCACTAGATAAAATTGTATTTTATTAAAATAGTTACCAAGCTTGTTGTGATCCGCGCATGTGTGTTACATTTTAATAATAAAGATTTCTTAAAAATGCAAACTTCTTGAAAATGTTTGGAGTACTGACCCAATTTGAACAATGGTGAAAAATTTGCCCCCTTTTTCAACATGACAGTAGAAGGTTTAATTTTCAAACAAGGTATCACTGGCTTTCAAGTTTTTTCTTAGGTTCCTTATAGTGAAATTTTAAGTGCACTTACATTTCGGAGCAAATCATCTATTTCGACAATCTGTGCTATAGGTATACAGGGTGATTTATTAAGAATGGGAAATCTCTGAACTACAGATAGTAAACACAAAAATAATGAGATTCAGCTCAATATGCCTGATGAGAATGTTGCTGGTTTAGGAGATACAGGGTGTTCTAGGGGGAGATTTTATTTCAAATTCAGAATAACTTTGTTAGTTTCAACAGCATGAACATGAGATCTTGTATTTCTAGGTTTTGTGACTGAGGAACATGTATTTGCAACTGATTTTGTGATTGCTCAAAGAGGGCGCTAGTGGCACTCGGCTACTTCGATAATTTACATCATATCTTCTATGTCAATTCATTGATGATCAAAATAAGTGGAAAATCTGAAAGCTCGTTCAATTTCACATGAAAAATGTACTTTTCATCAAATTGTCTAACTTCAACGGTTTTTGTGTTATTCGCTCTTGAAGAGATTCATGTTCCAATTATAACATTTTAATAATTTTATTTATTAAATTAAGAATGGGAAATCTCTGAACTACAGATAGTAAACACCCAAATATGAAAATATAGCCCAACATGCCTTATAAAAATATTGCTGATTTAAGAGATACAGGGTGGTTAAGGAGAAGATATTATCTCCTCCTCAACCACCCCGTATCTCTTAAACCATCAATATTTTTACAAGGCATGTTGGGCTGAATCTTCATATTTGGGTGTTTACTATCTGCAGTCAAGGGATTTCCAATTCTTAATTTAATAAATAAAATTATTAAAATGTTGGAACAAATATCTTCAAGAGCGAATAACACAAAAGCCGTTGAAGTTAGACAATTATTGATAAGGAGTAGATTTTTCATGTGAAATTGAACGAGCTTTCAGATTTTCCACTTATTTTGATCATGAATGAATTGACATAGAAGATATGATGTAACAGAGTGCCACTAGCGCCCTCTATGAGCAATCACAAAAAGAGTTGCAAATGCATATTCCTCATGTCAGGAAACCTAGAAATAAAAGATTTCATGTTCATGCTGTTGAAACTAACAAAGTTATTGTGAAATTTTGAAATAAAATCCCCCCTAGAACACCCTGTATCTCCTAAACCAGCAACATTCTCATCAGGCATATTGGGCTAAATCTCATTATTTTTGTGTTTACTATCTGTAGTTCAGAGATTTTCCATTCTTAATGCATCACCCTGTATAATGAATGTTCCACCTCGTTGATTAACCTACAGACAGAATAGAAACAAGTAACTACAATGGGCGTGTACACCTTAGTAGAACTTTCAACTCAAACCATGTTTATAATGATCCTTTTATACATAAATAATGATTGACGACATAATTCGATCGAAAAATTAACTGGAATGTTTCATTTTCGGAGATAAATAATAGTACCTTCTGAAAACGGACCCACTTATGACGTAGAAACCTCATCTCGCCATAGTTAAAAGAAAATACCAAACGCCCGACCGAGACTGAGGCAACTGATACATTAATTCTTTCAACTGTGATCTCGCGCTAATTCACTCTGTCAGAAATCATGTATCATCCATCTCTGTCTGGAATAGTCTTGTTTCAGTATTAGGGTTTTGACGTCACATCATCGCCTCGTTTTCAGAGGTCCGAAAAATCGGGGATTTCAATAATTTTTCATAAAACGTAGGGAGCTCACAGCAAGAAACGGTTTGCGGTGATGAGCTAGTTTATGTGAGTTCTATCGAATTATGAAATAATTTTTTTTTGTGATATATAAGCCCATTGAAATGATTATTTTTGATCATGGAATTCAACTGATATGAGTGGAGTAAACTAAAATTAGCAGAAGGAACTAGAAAATATTATTCCTAAATAGGTATTATATTTGTTCATTCTTCATTACTCATCTATTGATTATACAATAATATGAAAAATACAATGACTAGTTTCACATAGTGTTATCATCGATGAGATATTCATGTAAAATAATCAGCTGAAATCCCTTATTCTTCCCCGAACATTTCACGAGTTTCAATATACCTATAATGATAATGATAATATAAAAAAGCTGAATCACCTAATGCACTCCATATCCTAATTTGGTCACAATAAATCACGTGATACATTTAGTTTATGGCATCAAATATATATTCTTCCTCAAGCACACTAAAAAAAAACTGTTTAATAATTCTACAATTATCTGCGAATACTGCGAAAATATAAAAAAAAATTGGTGAAAAAAAAATGTCACATAATATCACGAGAGCTTCAATTATTCAATATATCGATTGCAGCTAAAGTGGTTTTCGGTTAGAAAGTTTCACACCGAAATATTTTTAAAAAATTACTTGTATAATGATTTTTGATGGTTTTGACATTTTGTATGTTAACTCAAAAGAATTTTTTTTATTTACGTATGTCATTCTTTATGTCAAAACTGAAGAGTAGGTATAATATCATAGTTTTTATATGAAAATGATGGTTGTTGGTGATCTAACGTATAGTAACAACATGCGTTTTTGTAAATTTCGAATTTGCAAGTATACCTACATAATATTATATGGTGAACTGTTGATAAATGATTTTTATTTATTGACTTATAGGTCGCGTGCACGAAGACCGACCCTGGAGGCAAAATATGTGTTTCAATATTTTACCTCATTCTTCTGTGAATTATTGAAACACAACCTCACTTTTTTATTTGGTTACAGAGGAATCAAAAGGTTGAAATAGTTTTTCACAATATTTTGGCATTCGAATCGTGTTTCTTGCGTTATCCATTAATTCAAGCATGCCTTCGCATTGTGCTGTTGTACAATGCACAAAAAATGCAGCAAGAGACTAGGGAATATGATTTTTCAGGTAAATAGTAATCTCATTATGAAATGTTGTCATTCCTTATTAAAATTCCTTCTGCCTTCTGCCACTTCTGCAATACAAGCTAATGCTGCTAATAGATTGAAAATGTCTACAACACACACGATCGTCGGCATGTCAGACCAGTCCTACCGATTGATTGCATGAATCCAATCTTCTTGCATTATTCTAGAAATTTCAGGTATATTTCTATTAGCTGATCCTATTGCAGAAGGAATTCCGATGAGAAATCAGAGAAATAACCAAATTTCAAAAATGAAAACTATGTGAGTGACTATAGTAGGTACTTACTTTCGAATCATAATGTACCATCCGGATTTCTTCATCTTCCGCTGCAGTTTTTGTGCATTTTACAACAGCACAATGTGATGGCATTAGCGAATTGATGAATAGCGGAAAAATACGATTCATATGCCAAAATAATTGTGGAAAACTATTTCGATCACTTGTAAACAAATATGTTTTGCCTCCAAGGTCGGTCATCTGACAGTTCTTGCACGCGACCTATAGAATGAACTCGAATGATCTGAAGTTGAATGTAAATGTCATTTAACCTATAAACGTCAAAAAATTTCCAGTGTTATTTCATGCTCCGTCCCCCAAGGAGGAAAAAATTTCCAAGAAATTTGTTCAGGTGCTATGGTAACGATACGATATACAGGCTTTAAATTAATCGAAAATGTTTGGTGTGAAATTTTCAATACAAAACAGTGCGTTGGTTAGACTTTTCAAGATTATCCTTAGTATATTGAAGAAAAAAAGGAACGAAAATATACTGGGTGTTTCCTAACTACGGTTCCTAACTGCAGGTTGTGATTCGTTAGGTCATTTTAGGAAGAACGGTTCCTATTAACATATGTCCGGAGTTGCAGCGTTTTTGAGATACAGGGCGTTGAAATTATCCGCATATTTTGCGAATCACTTAAATCACAAAATAATCAGTTTACACATTACTCTTTGGTTGTTCCATCCTCCAATACACCCACTTTTCAAGTAGTTTCTTCAACTTCGTTCTTAACTGACGTCACATCAGTCAGCTCTGGTGGCATATCGACATGAAATGATATACCGTAAGGCCTCAAATGATAAATGAGGTATTCCAAAACGTACATCTGATTCGGACTGACGTAATGGAAGGAGACGGCATTGTCTGAGCAACAGCCCATTCCCTAAAAAAAAATATTTAAAAAATTAATTCCCAGTCTATTGGTTTGAAATTTCACGCGTTTGTTAAAGGACCCCGCAATAAAAATGGCGTTCTGTCGAATTCTTTGAATTTCTGGTATATTATAGAACTCGACCTAATGATCAAATAAGCCGAGTTCCAATCCGATCCTATGACCAGTTTTTCAGATACAGGGTGTTGAAGTTGAGAAATGCCCCCTTTTCATCTACTTATATCTCCAAGAAAAGACAAATGAATCAGAATTTTTTGCTAGCTGATCTTTATCACAGGGTGATTCACATCTGAATTATTGTGTAATTTTCAATTTCTAAATATCGATACTACAACTTGATAAAAATAAAAAATTCAAAATTATCATTCGATATGTTCTTCTTACATGAAATTGATTCATTATATTATATGTATTGATTATACATGGTGTTCCGTGAATGAGGATGTTTAGAAAATAAAGTTTAATGAGCCACCTTGATTTAGGCTATTGATTATAATTTTTGAAGACACATTATGGTGCATCTCATGGTATACAGAGTGATTTATTGATTGAAAAAATTTCCAACTACAAAAAAATAACAAAAAACCACTGTTTTTTCCATCACCCTCTAATTTTAGATTTTCACCGTTAAAGTCAGATTTTTTTTCATTAATATTCTAAGTATCAATACCTCTATGAGATGAAAAATTTTCAGCTCCCTGCTATGACTAGTTTTCCATATATTGAATATAATGAAATGCCTAGGACATTAGGGACTTGTGCGCATGTGGCTAGTGTATTATAGTTTCAAGGTTTCGCTAGTATTCAAGGAAATGTTCGATTTCCAATCAAATAGACTTTTCAATAATTATTGTATTGACGATGCTGCAGATCGATTGCAACCTGACAATATTGATATCGATCCGGAAGTAATTTGAAGCTGACGATAGTGTTCATATGAACAATTCATTCGTTTAATTTTTTCCTGAAATCAATCTATATAAACATTTGACATTATTCGTGCAGTGGACTAGACCTAATGGGGATACCACTTAAAAAATATGCGCTAGAAACTCTACCTCTGGGGTGGCGTGGAAATGTGTTAGTTGTATTATACAGGGTGTCCGATAAACCATCGATCATATTCTAGCCGGTGATAAACAAATTCATAACCTATCAGAAAACCACATTTTGACCTCAGCAAAAAACTCACGGATTTCGAGATATATAAAAAATACATATAAAAAAAATTAATTCCTGTCTTCGTGTGTAGCTTGGAACATACAAATAGGAATTGAATTATTTGTATAAAAGTTCAAATTGTGGTGTTTTGGTAAGCTATAAACTTGTTTATTTCTGACAGTGACATTATAAGCTTATATCGTCATAGTTACGATATCTATTATGAGGGTCATAACTCCCTTGGGATGTTATAGATGCTATAATTCCCTCTAACTAAAATTAAATAAGAAATGCATAGCAACAACCACGCAGTAACGTAGCAATAAGGAATCTCCTATTCGCGGTAGTCAAGATCATCATCTGACGTTCTGATGACATTGAAACTATACGGAAAAACATGTCTAACTTCCAATCGGGAAGGTATCTAATGAATGAAATCAGTCAGAAATAAAATTATCTATGTATCACGGGAATTACTGAGCCTCAATAACCTCAGGCAATTGCTGTCCCTCGGGCCAGAGGCCCTCGGGACGCAAACTTTGCCATCGGTAATTAAGGCCCTCATAATTCCCTTAATACATAAATAACTATTATCACCAGCTAGAGTATATATGATCCATGGTGTATAGCGGACACCCTGTATACTGTATATTTTGTTATTCTTTCAAGTCTCCAATGGAAATATCTCAGTAACAGTAATATTTTCTACAAGTAATATTTTCGTTTCGAGGCAGTAGGTATTCAATCTGAGTGGGTAATCACTTTTATTATATTCAATATATGGAAAACTTGTCATAGCAAGGAGCTGAAAATTCTTCATCTTGTTGAGGTATTAATACTTAGAATATTAATGAAGAAAAAATCTGACCTCAACGGTGAAAAACTGCAAAAATTCCTGAAAATTGCAAAAATTGCAGAAATTGCAAAAATCGCAAAAATGACTGAAAATTGCAAAAATCGCAAAAATTCCTGAAAATTGCAAAAATCGCAAAAATTCCTGAAAATTGCGAAAATTCCTGAAAATTGCAAAAATCGCAAAAATTCCTGAAAATTGCAAAAATCACAAAAATTCCTGAAAATTGCAAAAATCGCAAAAATGCCTGAAAATTGCAAAAATTCCTGAAAATTGCAAAAATCGCAAAAATTCCTGAAAATCCAAAAATCGCAAAAATTCCTGAAAATTGCAAAAATCGCAAAAATGACTGAAAATTGCAAAAATCGCAAAAATGACTGAAAATTGCAAAAATCGCAAAAATTCCTGAAAATTGCAAAAATCGCAAAAATTCCTGAAAATTGCAAAAATCGCAAAAATGCCTGAAAATTGCAAAAATCGCAAAATGACTGAAAATTGCAAAAATCGCAAAAATTCTTGAAAATTGCAAAAATCGCAAAAATGCCCGAAAATTGCAAAAATCGCAAAACTTCCTGAAAATTGCAAAAATCGCAAAAATTCCTGAAAATTGCAAAAATCGCAAAAATGCCTGAAAATTGCAAAAATCGCAAAAATTCCTGAAAATTGCAAAAATCGCAAAAATGCCTGAAAATTGCAAAAATCGCAAAAATGACTGAAAATTGCAAAAATCGCAAAAATTCCTGAAAATTGCAGAAATCGCAAAAATTCCTGAAAATTGCAAAAATCGCAAAAATGCCTGAAAATTGCAAAAATCGCAAAAATGCCTGAAAATTGCAAAAATCGCAAAAATGCCTGAAAATTGCAAAAATCGCAAAAATGCCTGAAAATTGCAAAAATCGAAAAAATTCCTGAAAATTGCAAAAATCGCAAAAATGCCTGAAAATTGCAAAAATCGCAAAAATTCCTGAAAATTGCAAAAATTGCAAAAATTCCTGAAAATTGCAAAAATTGCAAAAATTGCAAAAATTGCAAAAATTCCTGAAAATTGAAAAAATCGCAAAAATGCCTGAAAATTGCAAAAATCGCAAAAATTGAAAATTTCAAAAATCGCAAAAATTCCTGAAAATTGCAAAAATCGCAAAAATGCCTGAAAATTGCAAAAATCGCAAAAATTCCTGAAAATTGCAAAAATCGCAAAAATCCTGAAAATTGCAAAAATCGCAAAAATTCCTGAAAATTGCAAAAAACGCAAAAATGACTGAAAATTGCAAAAATCGCAAAAATGACTGAAAATTGCAAAAATCGCAAAAATTCCTGAAAATTGCAAAAATCGCAAAAATGCTTGAAAATTGCAAAAATCGCAAAAATTCCTGAAAATTGCAAAAATCGCAAAAATGCCGAAAATTGCAAAAATCGCAAAAATTCCTGAAAATTGCAAAAATCGCAAAAATGACTGAAAATTGCAAAAATCGCAAAAATTCCTGAAAATTGAAAAAATCGCAAAAATTCCTGAAAATTGCAAAAATTCCTGAAAATTGCAAAAATCGCAAAAATTCCTGAAAATCCAAAAATCGCAAAAATTCCTGAAAATTGCAAAAATCGCAAAAATTCCTGAAAATTGCGAAAATCGCAAAAATGACTGAAAATTGCAAAAATCGCAAACATGACTGAAAATTACAAAAATCGCAAAAATTCCTGAAAATTG